ATGTATTTATATAGTGTACTGATGAAGGCTCTATAACCAAAACGTTTGCTTGCCCTTTGTGGTTGTATTATACTGAGCTGACGGTCTCTAATTTTCGTTTGATTTGATATCTTGTCATGATACTTTTAAAACACGAACTCTTGATTTTCTAGTCACTATGAACTGGTGTTAACGAACTTTTACTGCAAACTACAGGGATATTCTGTTGCTGCTGCTGCTACAACAACAACAACTACTGCTGCTACTACTACTACTACTACTACTACTACTACTACTACTACTACTACTACTACTACTACTACTACTACTACTACTACTACTACTACTACTACTACTACTACTACTACTACTACTACTACTACTACTACTACTACTGCTGCTCACCATCATCATGTAGCAGGTCCTTTGCAGAACGTCGCTCTCATCATGGTCTGCCTGTAAGAAACTCGGTCTCTCGCCAGCTTTCCTGCCTCATGTACTTTCATACTCAAGGAGTCACTTATATCCTGTGCCACATCTTCGTGTTGGTCGGCCCCTGCCCCTCCATTCTGATACCATGCCTTCTGCTATTTTTTTTAAAAAATCCGTCGTGGCGCTTGATATGAACAAAATATGTCAGCTTCCGAGGAAGGATGCTGTTTATTAGCCAATCTTCCAATGTTCAGATCTTTCAAGATGTCGATATTTCTCCTCTTCTTTGTCCAAGATATTCTGAGAATCTTTCCATAGCATTTCAGCTCAGAAACTTCTATTCTCCCTCTTAAGGACTGGGAGATAGTCCACGACTTACATCCGTATGTTGCTACAGGGAAGAGGCATGCTCTAATTTTGATCTCTTTGCTGGTGATAGTAATGTGGTGGTTTCCTCTTGATTTCCACATTCACATGGCTTTACACTACGTCAACAGGCTTAAGAAACCTTTTCGATTGCTAGGGCAAGTGAGTGTCCTGCTCTGTGATGCTCCTGCTTACAGCAGAGGACACCCCGACGGTGTTCACGTTTCCATCCGGGCGGATATTCGGCCCCATAGCTGCGTTAGCCACACCGCAGTGTGTTTACCATCCTCTACCGCGTGGAGGTGCAGTTGGGGTTTTCCCTTTACTGAGTCTTGAGACCAGAATGGCATTTTCCATAACTCTTCAGTACTACGGCTACTACTATTCCCTGGTTTGCGGTGATCAAACTTTGCGACATAATATTTGCCCATTTGCGGCTTTTTGCGACAACCACAAATAAAGCTTCACCAGCAACAACAGTGACGACCAGTGGGAAGTGTTGCTTGCTTTATCTGCTTGATATTTGACATATTGGATACTCTAAGTATATCTGTGTAGTGTTCCGGGTGATCTGTACTTTACATTGGAAGTAGGTGAACTGTTTACTGTGTACACGTCTTGAAACGATCTAATAACATCTAATTTTTTAATTTCTATTCTTTCCTGTAGCCATTACTCACTTGCTCAGCACTTAATACTATAGTAATACTACTGTGCCACTATGCTGCTCAGTTGTTTGTACCGTCGAGTCGAGCCAGTGACTGTTATCACTCATGACTGTCAATAGTACTAATAGTATGAATATACTATAAATACAAGTTAATAATTAAGTGTTTATAGACTCTCCTCTGAACTTCGTCCCCATATTATGGCGGCCAAACAAATACCCTAACAGGGCCTCAGTCATGTGTAAAATGCAGAGTGCCTGCCCAGGAACAAATTGCGGCAAAACTAGTATTGCCTCCGAATAACGGACCAAAATTATAGAGGGGAAACAAATACAGGGTCTCAGCGAAATGTTAATTGCGGATCTGTTTCTGTGACTATGTCGCACCGCCGCCAGCATCCTCCTCGCCGCTACGTGCAGCATGGATGGGGGGCTAAACTAGATGGCTGGGACTCACGAGCAAATAAATTGGAGGAAGTTGCAGGAGATGTGGTAGCTTCTGCTTGTGAGTTCCAGCCATCTAGTTTAGCCCCCCATCCGCGCTGCTCTTAGCGGTGTAGGGGATACACTCGGCGGTAAGTTTACTCAGAAGAACACTATCGCTAAACGGCTTTCCTCTGAATAACGGTCGTAAATTATCGAGGCCGAAACATATACCCTTACAGGGCCTCAGTCACGTGTAAATTGCAGACTTCCGGCGACTTAAATTGTGGACTTCCGGCAACTACCACCACCACCAGGAGAGTATCTCCCGCATCGCAGTAATCCTAGTTTTGCCGCGATTTGTTCCTTGGCAGGCACTCCGCATTTTACACACGACTGAGGCCCTGTTAGGGTATTTGTTTAGGCGCCATAATATGGGGATGAAGTTCAGAGGAGAGCCGTAAAACTCTGACACCATTTTCATTTGTAAAAAGTGTCCAGATTTCGTTGCAGTTTGGATGGTAACTTAAATCTCTTGTAAGTCCGGTATTCCGAAGAGCACCGACTGGTATAACAGCAATGAAATCTTAACAAATATTAGTGGTATTTACTACTACTGCTGATACTGCTGCTACTACTTACTAGTACTGCTGCTGCTGCTACTAGTACTACTGCTTTTGTACTGTGTACTGTTTTTGCTACTACCCACTGCTTGTTTCCCTGCTACTTGAAGTACATCTCAGTTTGTCTGTTATCTCAGTAAAAAAGTGTTAATAACTAATTACTGGGGAACTTTGAGGCTGCTGAAGCTGCATAATAAATACATTCACAAGTATTTATGTCCTCACCTTCTGTGACGGCTTATCAGTACCAGTGAATTTGTGTATAATGTTACCTATTAATGGAGCATAAGCTTTCAACCAGCTCACATCTTCTATTGTTGTTGTTGCTGTTGTTGTTGTTGTTGTTGTTCTTCTTCTTCTTCTTCTTCTTCTTCTTCTTCTTCTTCTTCTTCTTCTTCTTCTTCTTCTTCCTCTTCTTCTGTTTCTTCTTCTTCTTTTTTTTTCATTTTTTTCTTTTTCACTCTTAAAAGGCCGGTTGACGCATTGTATTATGCTTTATACCTAGGCTGTGATATCTGCTTGTCTGCCCACTGCATGCAATCTCAGACAACCTGTCATTAGTCACCTGTTATAGTATGCTTCTTAGGGGGCAGTGGGTCTGTTTTGTATTCCTCAAAGTGGGGCCCAGATCTGAACATCAAGGAAAGTTGGCTAGTAAACAGCATCTTGTTTCAGAAACTGAAAGGGTGGATTGGAAAGAATAACAGCAGAAGGCATATTACCAGGGAACAATGGCAGGGGATAGACCAGCACAAAGATGGGCACAGGATACAAGTGACACCTTGGGTATGAAAGTGCATGAGGTGGAACATCTGGTGAGAGACTGAATGTCTTTCATGCAGACCATGGCTAGAGCAACATTCTTCAAAGGACCTACTACATGATAGTCATGATGAGACCCGGAAGCTGACAGGGAAACTCACATCAAGTTGATTTGTTCATAATTTATTCCGCTGTGTAGGTAGCTTTCTACGGGGTGTGGTAAATATTACTACTTTGTTTGTTGTTCATCTGTCACAGGTGGTGAAGACCACTCTTTGTCTTTCATCTGTCATCAAACTATAGTTGACTGTGAGCCAGGAGGTGCCTCATAAGCCCAAAACAAGCCTAGAAGAATCTAGGATAATGGGAACAGGAAACAGTACTGTAGACTGAGGGCCTGGTGTATGAGTCTTTCAAGTCTGTCTTACTATTCAGCAGATGGCTCACAAGTTGCTTCTCCTCTTCAGATATAAGTTCACCGTCTAGTTTGTTCTTGTCCACCAGCCTCCAAAATGTCAAAGTTTATATTGAAGGCCTTGTGTGATGCCTTTAGCATGTCCTTGAAGCATTTTTCTGGCTACAATGAGAGCGTCTACCTTTATGTCTCACCATAAAAGATTATTTTGTGGGGGCTGTTGGTCTGGCATGAAAATACTTATGAGTATCTATAAAGTATTATTACTGTAACTATGTAGTGAAGTAAAACAGCAATCAAATGTGTACAACAAATCCTGAAATAAACTAGTCAGAAATAACCAAATCAGGATGACTGCATCAAGATATGACAGACCAAATGGTTTCTCCATGTGTTAAGATACCATTCGACAGTGCATCACAGAGATCCCTGTCAGTTAGACACAGTAAAAGCACGGCTAGAGGTGAGCCATGTAAGGGATGGATGGATGGAATATCTGAGGCCGTAAATACCAGCATCTACATAGCAGGTAACAAGGCTGTCACCTGACTTCTCTACAAAACCTGAACTGAAAGGTAGACCAGGACTAGAAAAGAAGGAGAAGAGGTTCAGTAGAATGTATAAATGCCAGTTTATTTTTGTATGTGACCTGCATTGTTGGATTCACCTGGCAAAATCTGCCTGTCCTGGCCTGTTAAGCAATGTGCTAGTGCTTATTAGATCCAATGGTTTAAGCTCTGCTTTTTGAGAACAGGTCACTGCAGAAATGGCCATGTCTGTGCATTACAGGACTGTGTCACAACTGGAAGTGACTAGATTCAGCCTTTTTGGGGAAGGGATTGGGTTGAAGAAAGAGAAATCCAACACAAAGAAAGCAGAGAAGGGTCCTTTTCAGTGCTATGAAGTTCATGTATTTTGCTGGGATTCCTTATGTTCTGTTCGGAGAAAAAGACAAGCACTTATTGAGATCGGGAGCCATCGTAGTGTAGCAGCTAGACACTCGGCTGCACATCATAAATGACCTTGGCTCCCAGGTCGACCCAGCCTTAGATGGGTGTCAGGTGAAGTCTTGGGAAGTAAAGACGGATGGCGTTATGTTGACCACTGAGTGTCGATTGGTCTATGTAATAGAGGTCTAGCACTAGATCCCAAGTACACCCTAAGTCATAGGAAAGGATCCTTTCACTTATTAAGAATTGAGTGCAGTAAAATTGATTTTTCACCAAAAAGTCCTAACTTAACTTCATTGCTGCTGTTCAGCTGATATCTTGTTGTTGTTTCCTGATTGGATTGTTAACATGTTTTTTTTTCCAGGTCCCTTTGCGAAAGAGACATGGTTGCTGCAGACTCCTTATCCTCTGACGTACCAGAGATCCACGTGGTCACAGGAGGTGCAGGATTTCCAGGTTTTTCTTTGGGCAGACGTCTTGCTAAAAAGGGTCACATTGTTAAACTGATTGATGTGAAAGAGCCCGTCTTAGACCTAGAGGAAGGAATGGAATTTTTTAAGGTAGGGGCTATTTTTCATTTTTGGATTGGGCATATTAGTTTTATATTGTTTTATTTCTAGTTTATTTTTCTCCTAATTTAATCTGCGCTGATTATACTAGATGTGTTTTTAGAATTAAATCAATAATTAACAACAATCATTAACTAACTGGTAACTAAAATAGAGCTATTTTGTTTTTGTTTTTGTAGAGCTATTTTGTGTGTGTTGTGTGTGTGCAGCAAAGCATGGCATATGATATCACAGCGTCTAGTTTGAGAATGAATAAGGGTGGAGGCAGTCACTGCTGCCTTCCATTGGATTGAGAATTAGCTGTACACACATGTCGTAAGTTTAACTGACTCACAGAGCATGTTCAAAAAGGTGCAGACAAGCAAGCTTAGTGCAGAGTGGCAAGCATTGCTTCAGAGGTCGCTGGTAGTTAGCGTCTTTTCTCCAGAATATGCCGGTGTGTTGGGAAACAAGCAGGCAGATAGACTGGCTGGTTCTGCACTTTGTGATAAATTGAGGTGTGACAAGCTTGTTGTTGTGAGGGTCCCTTGCGAGTGAACAGAGCGGAGGCACAAATAGATCATGATGGTCTGAGGAGAATAGCGCTGCGATGAGTTACCAGGGAATCTGGTTGATGCTCAACACTCATGGGAAATGCCAGATTTACAGTCAGACAGTTACTGGTGCCATCAGAACTGGAACTCTACAATTGCTGCTAAAGATGGGCATGGAGCGCTCATGGGTGTCTTGAGTGCTGTGATGTTGATTCCTAATTCAGCATTCAACGTTTTAAGAGAGAACTCAACAGACTTCAGTGAATCAAGAGCTGAGGAAAAGAGGTCATTGGATAGGAGATATTGAAAACCTTATAACAGACAGCAAGAATGTTCCTGCCATAGACTCCCTAGGGTAAAAAGAATAAACGCAGACAACAACAACAACAACAACAAAAAAGATTTAGAGAGTAAAATGTAAAAGATCTGGCGATAGCCTTCTGTTGAAGCATGCTGGGCAAGAGAAACAGAGGAAGACAAAGAGATATATATAAAGACTGCTGAAACAGTTGGTGCAGATTGATCCTGCTTAAAATGGAAATAGGGATATGTCTTGGAAGGCAAAAGCAGTCGGCATCATTTTGTTCATTTTGAACACATCATCCAGTAAGTGAGGGTTGGTCTACAAAATTGTGTGTCTGTTACCATAAGTTTAACATGCTATGGGCTTTAGTAAGGTCATTTATTTTTAAAGTTTGGAAACAAACAAAAAAAAAAAAAAGATTTACAACATTACAAAAAATAATGCCATTTTCTTCTTTTCTCTACTGCTGGAATACCTCACAGCTGTTACTGCCTGTGCTATGCAGGCTGAAAAAAAAAGGAAGGGGGGGTCCTGGAGTCTAAGGATTTAATGCTGCATAGCTTGTGCTGCCGCCAGCGACTGAAGGTTTGAATTTTTTTGGTGTGCCTCTCACACACACACAAAATCCCCAGCCTTACCAAAGATTTGACTGTAGGTCTCCTGCACGAGAGCCCTGCATTCTTAACTGTTCAGCCAGCTGCTCCTTAGTCCTTTATTTACCTACCATCAATTGCCGTGTACAAGTCGATCTGACCTCAAGATCTTCAGCTGCAAATTCTGAGTTATGCCTGTATCTGCCTAGTGCATTTTGTGCCTGGTCTATAATTCGGCCCCTAATTTTAGAAATATTCTGCTAAGCTAGGAAAACTCAATTCCTACAGTTTATGGTCCTTTGCTCAACACACTAGTCACCAACTTTTTCACATCATGCCCCCCGCCCCCCTGAATATGTGGCAGGACATCCACGCCGTCTTGCATATATGCAAGACCTCCACACCCCCTTGAGTATATAGCAAGACCTCCACACCCCCTTGAGTATATAGCAAGACCTCCACACCCCCTTGAGTATATAGCAAGACCTCCACACCCCCTTGAGTATATAACAAGACCCCCACACCCCCTTGAGTATATAACAAGACCCCCACACCCCCTTGAGTATATAGCAAGACCTCCACACCCCCTTTGAGTATATAACAAGACCCCCACACCCCCTTGAGTATATAACAAGACCCCCACACCCCCTTGAGTATACAACAAGACCCCCACACCCCCTTGAGTATATAGCAAGACCTCCACACCCCCTTGAGTATATAGCAAGACCTCCACACCCCCTTGAGTATATAGCAAGACCTCAACGGCCCTTGAGTACATAGCCAGACCACCAACCCCCCCCCCCTCCATCCCCCTGAATACATAGTAAGACCCACACACCCCCTTGAGTATATAGTAAGACCCACACACCCCCTTGAGTATATAGCAAGACCCCCACACCCCCTTGAGTCTATAGCAAGACCCTCACACCCCCTTGAGTATATAGTAAGACCCACACACCCCCTTGAGTATATAGCAAGACCTCCACACCCCCTTGAGTATATAGCAAGACCTCCACACCCCCTTGAGTATATAGCAAGACCTCCACACCCCCTTGAGTATATAGCAAGACCTCCACACCCCCTTGAGTATATAGCAAGACCTCCACACCCCCTTCAGTATATAGCAAGACCTCCACACCCCCTTGAGTATATAGCAAGACCTCCACACCCCCTTGAGTATATAGCAAGACCTCCACACCCCCTTGAGTATATAGCAAGACCCTCATGCCCCCTTGAGTATATAGCAAGACCTCCACACCCCCTTGAGTATATAGCAAGACGTCAACGGCCCTTGAGTACATAGCCAGACCACCAACCCCCCCCCCCCCCCCCTCTGAATACATAGCAAGACCCCCACACTCCCTTCAGTATATAGCCAGACCCCCAAACCCCCCCCCCCCCCAAATACATAGCAAGACCCTCACACCCCCTTGAGTGTATAGTAAGACCCACACACCCCCTTGAGTATATAGCAAGACCCCCACACCCCCTTGAGTATATAGCAAGACCCCCACACCCCCTTGAGTGTATAGCAAGACCCCCACACCCCCTTGAGTATATAGTAAAACCCCCACACCCCCTTTGATATATAGCAAGACTCCACGCCCTCTTGAATATATAGCAATAGCCCCACGCCCCCTTGAGTATATGACAAGACCCTAAAACTCCCTTGAAAGTATGGCAAAACCCCCACGCCCCTTGAGTATATAGCCAGACCCTCACACCCCCTTCAATACATAGCCAGACCTCAACCCCCCCCCCCCGCCCCCGAATACATAGCAAGACCACCACACACCCTTGTCTATATAACTAGACGCCCACATCCCTTTGAGTATATAGCAAGACCCCCACACCCTCTTGAGTATATAGCAAGAACCTCACACCTCTCTGAGTATATAGCAAGACCCCTACACCCCCTTGAGTATATAGCAAGACCCCCATACCTACCTGAGTATATAGCAAGACCCCCACACCCCCTTGAGTATATAGCAAGACCCCCATACCTACCTGAGTATATAGCAAGACCCCCACACCCCCTTGAGTATATAGCAAGACCCCCACACCTCCCTGAGTATATAGCAAGACCCCCACACCCCCTTGAGTATATAGCAAGACCCCCACACCCTCTTGAATTTATAGCAAGACCCCCACACCTCCCTGAGTATATAGCAAGTCCCACACACCCCCTTGAGTATATGGCAAGACCTCCACACCTCCATGAGTATATAGCAAGACTCCCACACCCCCTTGAGTATATGGCAAAACCCTCTCTCCCCCTTGAAAGTATGGCAAGACCCCCATACCCCTTAAGTATATAGCAAAACCCACACACTCCCCTGAGTATATAGCAAGACCCCGCACACTCCCTTGAGTATATAGCAAGACATCCACACCCCCTTTAATTAAAGCAAGACCCCCAAACCCCCTGAAATATATAGCAAGACCCCCACGCCAACTTGAGTATATAGCAAGATCTCTGCACCCCCTTGAGTGTATAGCAAGATCTCTGCACCCCCTTGAGTATATAGCAAGACCCCTGCACCCCCTTGAGTATATAGCAAGACCCCTGCACCCCCTTGAGTATATAGCAAGACCCCTGCACCCCCTTGAGTATATAGCAAGACCCCTGCACCCCCTTGAGTATATAGCAAGACCCCTGCACTCCCTTGAGTATATAGCAAGACCCCTGCACCCCCTTGAGTGTATAGCAAGACCTCTGCACCCCCTTGAGTGTATAGCAAGACCTCTGCACCCCCTTGAGTGTATAGCAAGACCTCCCCGCCACCCTTGGCCCCTTTTCCATCCTCAGCATAACAAAATGTAATTAAACAGAGGAGGATAATAGATTCAACAGAAGGGAAACAGAAAGTATAGAGACACGTTTTGGTCAGAATGCGTCCTTAATCTGTAATTAAACGCGTGTCATCATATTAATTCAATTGTTAACGGTAGATGTACAAACTCCTCAGGAAAACAAAAACATCCTTGTTTGTTATGTTTCATAAGTAATTTTAAACAAATATTTTTATTAAACAGTTTTTTCCTTGGAACCTCCTTGCGCACCCCCACCCCCTTCCCTTTTCCCCAGGTGGATAGCAAAGTAACATTATAAGCAGTCCAAGTCCAAGTCCTTTTAAGAAAAAAAAGAAAAGCTCGACCAAGTTCAGACTGCTGCTAGCTAGCCTAGGCTGCTAACAGTCTCCGCCTATATTTGTGGTCTGGGTTATTTGCGTCACTTTCGTGACTGAATACTGGTGTTTGTGCCATTTCTGGCTTAATGCTTCCCTCCGTATCAAACCGCTCGTCCTGTTGTCACTGGTGCAAGTCTTCCTTCTTCATTCGTGGTGTTTCCTGTTTGTTCTGTCTCCCTTTGATCTGGCTAGGCATATCTCGAAGGAGAGCGAGCTTCCAAACACAACGACCTTTCGGCCACCATTTATTATTTTAAAATTTTGAGTATTTTAATTTTCCAAAAAGTACTGAAAACAGTTTTTGAATGTGAATAGTTCCGAAATGTGAAAATTTTCCGCGTATGACCATAGTGGTCTTATAGTTGTCTTC